TGTACACTCGGGTGTCGTAGGACTTGCACGTTCGTCGTGCTCGATAGATTTTTTGGGTTTGTGGATGCTAGCTTGGATAAAGCATTGGCTTGCTCGTTCTCCTTGCAGGGGACCTTGGTTATCTTGAAACTCACAAATCCCCTTTGTAGGTCCCTGACTTTCATTAAGTAAGCTGCCATCTTCCCGTCTTTCGCCTCAAATTCCCTTGTCACTTGTCCAACTATCAACTGAGAGTCACTACAAATATCTACTGACGTCACCCCAATCTTGATGGCAAGCTCAGGCCTGTAATCACTGCCTCGTACTCGGCGTCATCATTTGTTGCTGGAAACTCGAAACGCAATGAATATTCCAGTTCTTCAGACCCTGGTCCTATCATAATAATGCCTGCTCCAGATCCTTCACTATGTGAGGATCCATCCACAAAGATTTTTCAAACTTCCTCATGCCCCGTGGGTTGGTCAAGTGGGGCTGTAAGCTCTATGATAAAGTCTGCCAAAGTTTGCGCCTTAATAACCGTCCTCAATTTGAACTTGATGTGAAATTTACTTAATTTGATTACCCACTTTAACATCCTCTCGGACGTCTCGGGTCGATGCAAAATTTGCTTGACGGGCTGATCAGTCATGACTTGTACTGTATGAGATTGAAAATATGACCTGACGGCCACAATCAATGCGAACACTAGCTTCTCTGCAAGACTATACCTGGTTTCTGTACCTTTCAAAACTTGGCTTATGTAATACACTGGCTTTTGTGACTTTGGAAATTCTTTCACAAGCACTGCACTGACTGCATGCTTTGAAACGGCCAAATACAAACATAACACGTCCCCTGCACATGGACTAGTCAGGATCGGGGGCTACTGGAGCGACTGCTTCAAGGATTCAAGGGATTCTTCACACTCCTTGGTCCATTCAAAGTTGTTTGAGCCCCCAATTGCCTTGAAGAAGTGGTAGCACTTATCAGCTACTTGACTCATGAAACGATTCGATGTTGCTACCCACCCTTGAGCCACTGGACCTCCCTTTTACTTAAGGGGCTTTTCATCTCTAGGATAGCCCGGATCTTATCTGGATTTACTTTAATGCCTCTTTGTGAAATCATGAAACCTAGGAACTTTTCCCCTGCTGTTCCAAAAATACACTTCTTGGGATTGAATTTCATCCTATTCCGTCGGGCCATGTCGAACACTTTTCGCAAATCAGTTACGTGGTTATCAGCCTTAACACTTTTGACAACCATATCATCAACATAAGCTTTGATTATATTTCCAATCAAGTCTTTGAAGACTTTATTCACCATTCTTTGATAACTTGCTCCAACATTTTTTTAAGCCGAATGGCATAGTTGAGTAGCAGTACGTCCTCGAGTCAAGTATGAAGGATGTTTTCTCTTGGTCCGACTTGGCCATAGAGATCTGGCGATACCCGGAGAAGGCATCTAGAAAGCTTAGTCGTTTATGACCTAATGTGGCATCCACCAAATGATCTATCCTAGGTAGCGGATATGAATCTTTGGGACATACTTTGTTCAAAGCGGTGTAATCCACGCACATGTGCCATTTCCCATTCGACTTTTTCACGAGGACAACATTGGCCAACCATTTCGGGTACCGTACTTCCTTGACAAACCCTACGTGCAACAACTTTTCAACTTTTACCTTAACCGCGACCTGTCGCTCCGGAGCAAGATTCCTCTTCTTTTGCCTCACAGGCTTTGCTCTCTGTGAAATACCAAGACGGTGCTGAGCGACTGACAGACTAGTCCCTAGAATGTCCTTGGGCTCCATGCAAAAACATCTAAATTGTCAGATAAACACTTCACTAATTCTTCTTTTTCTTCTAGCCTCATGTTCACCCCTAATGCTGAATTTATGTCCTTTCCCTATCAAATTTTTTTCCTGTCATGTCAAGTGACTCAATTTGCCCCCTCGGGGACTCAAAATCCAACGTCATGATCGATGGTGATCTCCTTGCTTGTATACTGTCAACATAGCACCTTCACGAAGATTGATGATCGCCTCTCACACACCCTACGCCGTGGTTGGTCGGGAACATCATAACTTGATGATAAGTGGACGAAATTGTACCAGTGGCATTCAACAGAGGCCGACCATATATTGCATTATACGCCATGGGGGTCTTAACAACAAGGAAGTTTGCTAGGATCACCATGCTTGTTGGATATGTACCTAACGTCACTAGAAGTTTTACAGCTCCCTTTGGTATAACAGTGGCTCCTCCGAATCCTTGAAGAGGAGTGGACACAACCTTTAATTTTTCAAGAGAATTTTTCAATCCCACAAATGCTTCCCAAGTAAGGATGTTTGCCGCGCTACCACCATTATACGCCATGGGGGTCTTAACAACAAGGAAGTTTGCTAGGATCACCATGCTTGTTGGATATGTACCTAACGTCACTAGAAGTTCTACAGCTCCCTTTGGTATAACAGTGGCTCCTCCGAATCCTTGAAGAGGAGTGGACACAACCTTTAATTTTTCAAGAGAATTTTTCAATCCCACAAATGCTTCCCAAGTAAGGATGTTTGCCGCGCTACCACCATCGACCAAAACCCTTTTTACATTAAAATTCGCTATGTCACCGACGATCACCAAAGCATCGTCATGGGACGTTGCCACACCAATCAGATCTTCTTCATTGAAAGTAATATTTTGGTGAAACCTGGTCTTCTCTTGGATGGAGCAAACCCCAACGGTGTGAGGATAGCCCTTCCTAGCTGAATTCGAGTCTCCGCCTGTCGCAATCCCTCCAGCTATCACATTTATTACTCCGGCCTTAGGTGGTGGTCGATCGTCGACTTTCTGTTGCCTCGATCATTCTTCACATACTTAGTCAAAAGTCCCCGTTTTAATAGGCACTCAATCTCCTCCTTCAAGTGGATGCATTCTTTCGTATCATGCCCATGATCCCTATGGAATTGACAATACCTGCTTTTGTCTCTCTTGTTAGTGGAGGTTGCCATGGGCTTCGGCCAGTTGAGCTCCTTCATATCCCGAATTTCCATCAATACCTTTGCCTGTGGAGCGTTTAGAGGGGGTGAAGGTTTTTATCTCTTCTAGCCTCTGTTTGACTGAGCGATCCTGTGCATACCTTCAGTTCATATATTCCCTTTTTAACTTATTCTTATCAGCAGATTTTCTCTCCTCATGTGATTTTCGCTTGTGAGTTTCTGGTTCTCATCCTTCCAGAAGGTTTTTTATGACCCTCTTTGCTTCCTCAGCTTTTACATACTTGTCTCCCTTTTTCAACAGTTCATGCATTGACTCCGGGGGTTTTTTTGAGAGTGACATCTTAAAAGCCTGATTTCGTGTCCCATTTATCAATGCAGCGACTACCGTCAACATCTGAAGATCCTTTATGCCCAATGCTGCTCGACTGAACCTAGCCAAATAATCTTGCAATAGCTCATCTTTTTCTTGAACAACTTGCATTAGTCCTATGACAGTCTTTTTCTTCCTCTTACTACTCATGAAATATGCTACAAAACTTCTAGAGAGCTCATCAAATGTTTTGATTGATCGTGGTGCTAGAGTGGCTACCCAATCTCTCGCTTCCCTTCTTAGCGTCGGCGAAAAGGACCGACACATCACATCATCTGAGGTTGCATACAGTCTCATCAAATCAACAAAAGTGTGTAGATGATCAAGTGGATCAGTGACTCCATCATACGCTTCTATCATTGGTTGTTTGAAACCCTTTGGTAGAGGAACCGCCATGATTTCTAGGGCGAAAGGGTCTTCTTCGAAAACCATCTGCCTTCACCTATCCTTCCTCCTTGTCAACGCATCGACAATCTTTTGGGACATTATTTCTTCCATCCTGCGCTCCAAGTCTACCATAGGACGCGTGGCCTGTGTATGTGTGACTTCATGTGACCTTTGGTCGACAACGGTTTCCTGAATGATCAGTGGGATAACTACATGGTTTGCCTGAAGTTGCCCATTTGTGTCTTGCGACGGTGCTTCTGGCATATTGTGAGATGGACCGGCTACTCTTGGCGTCTAATTTTGCAAGAGAGTTATCACAGTGGCTAACTGAGCCTCCAGAAGGTTAAATTGGCTCTGCGTCACATATTGAGGTTGAGGCTACGGATCTTGACCCCTGGCGATAGACTCCGACTCTGCAGTGATAGTAACCGCACGTGTATCACTTCTAGTTCATCTTACCGACATAGCTTTTATGTTCGATGAAGATTTCCCACAGACGGCGCCAATGAAATAATTCTAGTGTAACTCCGTATGTTTTCTAGTGAAAGAATTGGTCTTTTGTCCTCCGATGATCTTGCAAAAAGAATTTGGGGCTCCCTCTTCCGTTGTACCTTCGACGTGAGAGTCAATAATCGTTTTTAGATAAAGGATGTTAAAGAAATGCAGTAGTGAGAGAGGAAAGAATTTTTCCCTGAAAAATAAAGAACCCCCTTTACCTGACATGCTCATGGAATATTTATAGGCGTCTGGCATCACATAACCACTGGGCAGTTGCCATCCACGTATCCCCATCAGTCTAGCATCACGTAACCGCTAGGCAGTTGTCATCCACGCATCCTTATGAGACTTGCCAACTCTTCAGGCGATTTTTTCCATTTATTCGATTACCCAAGTAGTGGGTTTAATAATAATCGTTTGGATGGTTGTTGACCGATTCCAACGTTGTTCGGGTAGACGACGGTCGCTCCGCGCGTGGCAAGGGTCGGATTGGCATAGTAATTAGCGCTCTAATATGACAAGCGCCACCTGACATGCCAAAGCTGTCTGTACCTTATGAGCAAGCGAATGTAGTGTCGGTCGAGCTGACACTACGATAGTCGTCATTTCATAATAGGCTACCTGACATAGCGGGGGTCATCCTCTCTCTACCAATCGTCCTAATCAATTATTTGAACCACATGATATCCACATGATATAAACTGCCTTTAGTTACCAGAACTTATTGTTAACTCAAATGAATCATAAAGCAACAATACATGCACTGGAAAGTAGGTCAAAGTACGAATAGTCGAATTTCGATAAAAGTTTTTGTAATATGAAGTTCGACAGAATATGCAAAAACTTTAACATCTCGACTGACGAATACAGATGTAATAGATGGTACAAGCATTGCTCGAAAATTAGAATAAAACACTTATTTTCTCAAATGCTCTGTGTACAGAGGAAAAAATATCAGCTTGTCGACTCTGAGATGCTGCTTGGCTCGTCTTCTGATTTAGTTTCAGATGGATTCTCCGGTTCAACTTCAAGCTTGGACACTTTGAATATCGCTAAATTGGTGTCCCCTGATAATCAAAACAACAACTTAAGCAAGTAAAGAAACCAATTTTAATCAACATTACTAATTGTAGTAGCAGCGCGGTTAACACTTTAAGTTCGACCCCAATATAGAATGATCCGAGTTTAACCATAGGTGTTAAGACTTAAGAATGATAAGGAGCTGGATGAGATTTCCAGGAGATTTCATACCAAACGTAATGAGATTCCCAGGAGATGCAGCAGCAACAACTCCAGGTTGAAGCCGTATTTCATCAATAAATGTACCATTTGTGCTGTCCAGATCCGTGATCAAAAGACTCTCTTCTGTCTTCTGAATCCGGGCATGCACACCAGAAACTGTATTAATTTGAACAAGTTAACTGGTCATGATTAGTCTCTTTTTCTTTAGTCAAAATGATTTGTTAATCAGAGTTCTTCTCTCGACAGATTATTACAAGCATTCATGATAAGAGACAAAGCAATTTTACTTGGTTCGGCTAAATTAGCCTACACCCATGGGAATCAAAGACAATTCACCGTGAATAAAGAAGAAGAATTACAAATTTTCTTGGCTCATTTTCAGCATTTGGAAATCCCAGTCTCAAGCATAACCTCCCTCGGTTCTGTATTTGAAGAAAACAATCGATACCCTTTCTCACTTCATTTTCTAAAGAACGTTGGCAAGTCTATATACAGAAAACATTTCAGTGGACTAAATTCACCACAAGGTGTTAACCGACTGAACATTAATAATTACAGAGCAAGAAACCTAATGAGAGAATGCTTTGGTTTTGAGTTTGCCAACGGCAGAACAGACTTGCATTATTTTGCCGCACTGGTTAAGAAAAATCCCAGAATAACGTTTATCCCCATACCAATTAGTTCATTATCAGAATGAACCCATTGTTCAAAAACCAAGAAAAAGAGAGATAAAAAGTTCAAAAAAATAAATAAATAAATAAAAATTCTACTAGTGATCTTCAAGAGCTCAAACCAATGCTAAAACCAAAAAGTAGAGACAGTATGAATCATGTAAATTGGATACCTGTTGGAACAGGAATCACGATATCTGCTTTCCCTGCAGTGCGTCCAACTGTGACTACATTCTAAATCATGTCAAAATTTTACAGTTAATACAGTCTTGCATCATAAAAAAAAAAAAAACTAAAAACTGAAATTCAAAATGCTTACGGAAGCTATTTCAAATGCATCAGGCAATGCAGTCTTATAGCCTATGTGTCTTGAATCACCATCACCTAAGCAAAGACCATATACATGATTAAGTTTCTATATACAGGAGCTAGACTAAGAGCAGAACATCGTCTAGCCAGTAGAATTCGCGTGGACTAAAGAAATATTTCAGTCAAGATATGGATTAACTGTGTGAGAATGGCAAAAATTACGTGAAATTAAAAAGGAGCAAACAACCAACCAAGACTTTATCCATACTTATACTACATCGGTGTTACTTAGCCTTAAACTCGACCTGTAAAGAAGGTTCCCAATTGGTTATAAACCCACAAGTCAAACCATAACTTTTGAGATGTAGGATTAGGACACAATTAGTCATTAAGTTCCACCATTCCTTTCAAGCTAGATGACTTCACCGAACTAGTTTTCTACTGGGGATAGCCATCTCTAGTCACCCATATGCAACGACGGTCATCCCTGCGAAAGTTCCTGCTATCAGATTAGACCCTCATAACGGACTTGTAAGGGTGGATTTCCAAATGGCTATAAGTCTTCGAGTCAAGCCTTAACTTACACATAGGACACAGAGACACGATTATAGTTATTACAGTGGCTACAAGTATGTTCTTTTCCTACTGCACTCTATCAAATACATTATGCAAATTGAACATCAAGCAAATCCCACTTGTCCCAAGTGACTTCTACATAATTCCAATAAAGGAAACTGCCAAAAATTATCACATCAAATAAAAAACACAAATTTACATTCACAGTTCAAAACAACTAAACAAGGGGCTATATTTGCTACCTATGTATCCATCACATTCACATAGCTTCTTTTAATGAGAAATGCAAAGGCCAAAGCATAAGCAAATTCATATTAGCCATACCAATTGAATAGTAATTGCTTTCAGTCTACGTACATTCTCTAAACTTTGTCCACCTTTCATTCTTTAATTTCACACACACACACACACACACACAAATACACATAGAACAAGAAGAAGAAGATTAGATGACAGACCTACAGGTTCGAGAAGCCATCTAACCGAATTATTTGTAGGACTGGTTTCAGAATCAGAAGCACTTATAGCTCCAAAGTTCCTCAGCTGTCTTGCACTACACTGTAGCTTTCTGGGCAGGCAATTATAGCCCAGAAAACTGACAGAAGAACGAGCAAAAACCGTTGATTTAGCTGGAAAAAAGGCTGGAGATGGAGAATTAGCCTTAGCCTTGGCATAAGAAAGAGATTGTGTGGTCATTTCCATTTTCTTGATTTTTGTCCACAATTTTGTGACAGTATACAGGCGAGATTGTTTCTATTGAATGTGCACATCTATCAACTACAGTAGATAGATGGCCATTATGAATTATTATGATCATAGAAAAGAAAGGTAGAATGAGAATTGAGCACATGTGGTAAGAGTACGTGGCACACATTGATCATAAAGATTTGAGGATAGCAAAATATCTTGGTTTTGCTTTGTCTGGTTTTGGTCATGTCTCAAGTCTTTGAAAGCCCAGAATGTTGTTAAATCTGTTCCACGTTAGAATCTGGGCTTATATTGGTTCGCCCAATGTATAAGGGAAATTGACACAAATAGCAATAATTAGTAGCAATTATAAATACTAACAAGCTTTTGTAGACTTACTATTTCATCACTTGATTTTGATGGAAATCAATATACAATAATCGATGAAGATGCATCGACAATTATCCATTGCAATGTGTCGGTGACATTGTCGCCAATTGTCGTTAATCACCAATCAAAAGTTGTTAGTGAATCAGAAATTTATTCTCGTTCAATATAGTAAAACCAATAGAACGCGACAAACAATCTCTCCAAAATAGAGAAACATTATGCACTAGAACATAAGATGATTTTCAGAGACTTTGAATATAAGATGCTTTATATTTTAGAAAGTCTATGTACAAAAACAAGTTTATAAATTTAAGCTAGAGAATGGGTTTGCTCTCCGAATTTGAATAGTCAAATTTACTCACTATTCTTATTTTATAATAAATGTATTTAATAAGTTACGGATTTCAATATTTACTTCTCAAATTATTTAAACCTCATTTGAATTGATTGTCCATTGACATAACAAATGTTAAATGAAAGATTAGGAAAAATAATAAGTATTTATTGAAAAATGCAAAATATAGAGAAAAATAGATAACAAAGTTGGAGTGAATAAAAAAATTTACTTTCTAAATTAAAGATACTTTCTATTATATAAAATACTTTTTAGAATAATGTTATTCATAGTGAAAACTACGATAATTATCTTATGTGACATACGCACGACATTTTGTTATTTCATACATTAATGTAGTAATTTTTTATTGTCTCATACTTCATAACAAACTGTCGTGTGTATGTCATGTAGGACGATTATCGATAATATTCACTATGAATAACATTAATTTTCTTTTCATAAATAGAAAGTTTATTGGACATGCTTGAAGATGCCAGCTCATATGATGAACAAAACCGCTAGAGCCATTGACAATTTCCTTAAGAAGCTTGATTATCCTTAAGAAGCACCTCATTTAGCACAAACTCAAATCTATGGTTGCTTCATGATCACAAAGAGAATCACACATAGATTGTAACATTAGACCAGTCCGTTGAGCAAAGTGCAAGCTCTCACCGAAAGCTTGATGCTTAGCATCGACCACGATAAAAGAGCACACCACCACTCCCCTTACGATTGCTGCAATTTCCACAAAGCCATTCCCCTCCCTCACACTGGCATCATCATTCAACTTGTGCTATAAAGTTTCTCGTGGCCTCCAAAGCCTTCGACTCACCTCCGCCTTCCTCATCTCTCTTATCAGCCTATCTGCTATCTCACCATTGACCTTCGATTGGCACCGCTCACCACCATGCAGCATCTTGAATGCATAGACCCACAGCCTCCCCATTTTTCTTCCCAGCCCAAATAGAAGATCTCTCTTGTCACTTCCCACGATGTCTTATTTATTGGTAGAGATAGTTCTCACTTGCTGACATTTAGCACGCGACAAAGTCTATCAAATGTTATGTAACTGAAAAATTGATATTTATTCTCTGATAACAAATCGAGTATCAAAGTTTAAGTTCATATAGATTATATTAATATATACGATATAAGAACATAGCATTCACTTTAGCCAATATATTTTTAGATATATAACGGTAATCCTAGGAGTATCAAAATCGACCGAACCATCCAAATGAAAAGCATGTCTAGGTGGCTCTGAACATGAAAAACACAGCCCAAGTCTGGTCTAGTCCATGATTTGTCGCGTGCCATGGTCCACCAGCTTCGACAGCCAAACTATTATTAATTCCAACCGATAAATTTGTTAAGAAATAAAATCCTACACCAAATAAAAAATGAAAACATAGACTAACTTATAAAACTTTGAACCAATTCATCTTTTAAGATGTAACCCCAAATTTTAACATAGTATCAGAGCCCATTAAATTTCAACGAACAAGTAAACACACAAATTTTAAAATTAGTTTGCTCAAATGAACTATCATCTTGTAGTAGCATGTTAAAGGATAAAATTTCACATCAAATAAAGATGAAAACATAAACCAACTTATAAGGTTTTGACTACTCTTAAGATGGAACTCTAAATTTTAACAAAATTTAAGCATGTCGAGCCATCTCAAAACCGGACAGCCATATACACCTTTATGAGGACTTGTACCGTTAGCAATCATCAAAACAACAGTTAGTAAATGAAAATGCAGGCAACAGATTGAACAAAGGAAATCAGTTACTGCACTTGAAAGATTGTATCAGAAATCGGAACAAAATGATGTTGGCTCAGTTTAAGGTTACAGTCACATACAAGGTAAGGGATGACCAATAGCAGTTACACAATGTTACAATACCGAAATGACGGTAAAAACGACAGAAAAATATATCAAACAAAGATCTAAGCAGAAAAATTATCCTTCATTAAAATGACAGTTACACAACCCGATAGCAGAAATTGTCACGAGGAACATACAGTGTTATCTGGAAACAAATCCCGATATAATTCAACCCACTAGAACACATTTTAACCTCAATTCACATTAACAACCTAATATATGATACTTTTTCCAATTTACTGCTATCAGCAATGAAATTTTAGAACTACGAAACACTTTCCTTTCTGTTACATATTTTTGCAGATTTTGAAGATGCGATCTTCATTTTACAGGGTGTCCTAAAACCATAATCATGTCCGCTGTCTTATCCTCCTGCCATTTGTATCACCACCATCAGAAAGCTGAGCCCAAACACTTCGAGACTTGCCACCGCCACTGCTGCAATCCTCCTCACAACCAGCCACAGTCTTCAATATCTCTGATTGTAAGGCCGGGCAATTTTCTTTAAGATATTCGAAGCCATCCGAACGCATAACAGCTGCAATAAAAATAGAAAGAGATCTATGAACAAAGTAAAATGTACAATAGAATAATTATTCAAATAAAAGTAGGAGAAAGAAATCTTCATACATGTTAAAGCACAATCAACCCTGTTCGGTTTAGCTAAAAAAGTCAACCTAAGTCAAAGTCAACAACTAATTTTAACCACATATTTGCTGACAATTTTTACAAACTTTTCAACCACACATTTTATCAACTTTTATCAAAATCTACTTAAAAAAAATCTGATTTTAACAAAACTAAAAAGGGGCTAAATTTTATGGCATTGGGGATCTCAATTATGATCTCACAAATTTCTTCATTTTTGCAATAAGTATACCCATCTTTAAAGTAGCCCAGCTTCATCTCATTCTAATTAATAACAATTCATGGAGATGATAACCATGGTCAAATACGTTCTACAACATTGCACATATATAAACCTTCTAACTAGTAAAGAAGGTTAATATATAGAAGATGAATATATGTGTAACCCTCGTTAAATAAATGCTCATTTTCATTCATAGAGCAAAAATACGGTTGCAAAATGCTTCATATCTCTGTCTCTCTATGAGCATTTAATATATATAGAAGACGAATAAATATGTGTAAACCTTATTAAATATGCTTTTATATCTTATATGATTCATATCTTTTTTCACAAACTGAACTGAATCGAGTTCAAATGACACGCATCTGGACCTGAATCTATTTTTTATCAGGTAAGATGAGAACATGGATCAAAACAAAAGAGTTTGAATTCAAAAAAGTTGGGTGGGCTTTTCATCATATGTTCATTCCCTTTGATATTTAGGGAAGTTAGTTACTTGGAAAAACTTTCCATCCCATATCTATTTGAATTTTCAATGATGGATGTTGATGCGGACATCCATTTATTATTTATTTTCTATTTGGACTATTAGTTATATTTTATTTGGACTATTGTTTATGTTTTCGTTATTGGGCTTGTTTAGTAGGTTTGGCCCAAGCCCTTCTCTTTAGGGTTTGTGTTCTGCTATTTATTTCTATTTTGTTTCTCATTTGAGACAGTTGATGATGAATTTTGATTAATTAAAGATTTGGCTTGCAGCCGTTTTGCCCTCTTCCCCTCTGTTCATCGCGGTACTGTTCACACAGAATTTCAGTTTAGTATTTTGGTCAATTTCTTAAAAAAAAAAAAAAAAAAAAATACTGTTCACGGGTACTGTTCACGGCCCCAAAAAAAAAAATTCGTTTTTTTTCTGCTGCTCATAAAAAAATTGTGGTGTTGTTCCACAAATCTCAAACCCTAGCATTCAAGCCCATTTAGCCCAACTAACCCAGCCTACTCTTTACGACCCAGGCCCACTCTCCAAACACCAACCCCAGCTGGCCCATCTCTATAACAGGATCCAAACCCCTTCCCATCTGACCCAGTCCCAAATATCCGACCAAGCCCGATTATAACCAATCCATTAACATCAAATATCCCACAGTTTCACCCGATTCCTCTCTCACAACCACTCTCTTGCTGCCATCGCCTCTAATCACCATCACGCTACCACTTCATTATCTATTGTACCCAGGCATCCAATTCAAATCAGCACACTCAACCATATACATAATCCAATTTGCCGCCTTCTTCAACACATTCTACAGATTTCTATCACCGACACCCACCCACTCAGACGCCTCTATCCCCGGCGTTTCTATCTTCCACCAACTTCATTGATCAAGCAGTTTACTGTCTCTACTACCAAGCAATCCATTCAGTTACACAGAGGTTTCTATTTCAGCATCTGTCCAATTTCAGTGAAGCCAACAATTTAGAATATGCAATGACCGTGAGTTCAGGAGCTGGAGACATTTGACACAGGCAAATCAGAGGCCCAATCGTTAGCAATTCAAGCAACTAGACTACAGGGAGTTGCTATCTCCTAATTCTCATTGGTTTATACTGCTGTTTTATTTTAAAAGTGC